GGGGGGGCTCTGCTGAGAGTGTTCCCGGACCAACACACACTCATGCAGACGCTGCACTGAAACATAATGGAGGTGTCTTTGTGATGATGCATACATGACAAGAATAGCATCTGTTTATTTTTCTACGGCTACAGAAAAATAACTCCTCTTTTGGCCAAACTCTGTTATTCAGTGCACTGTGACAGCCAGCGGTGCCTTGAGCGAATGATTAGTTTATTGATTTCCTTGCTTTGCTGAAACTGCATATTCATGCTCATTATCATAAGGGGAAGGAAAGGACTGTGGAGTGAGGATGAATGATGAAGCAAAAGAGGTTAGATAGAATTCATTGAAACACACCACCTTTTATTTGCATATTGCAAAGACTAAAATGAACTAAACTTGACTAAATTATTATTTTAATTTTAAAGCAGCAGAATTGGGATTGCCTTTAAATGTCTAACTAAATGATGCTGAGTATTTGGAAATAAATGTCTACAAGCAGCATTTAGCCATGGCCAGGTGTTTCATCAGAACAAGCAGAAAAAAACCCTGATTTTTCACTCTGTCCTCTGCAGGGGTTCAGTCTGTTAAACTGCTGAAATCTTGCTTTCCTTGAGGACTGCGGCTATGTGGAGAGGGCAGAGAAGCTGAAGTGGCTGCCTGTAAGAGTGAGCTGCCTGTGCTGAGAGGCATCGATGGACTGAGATAATACATAACAATGTATCGCGTGTAGGCGTTTAGCGTCTCGTTCAGTGACATTTTGCTGGAGAATCAGAACTCTCAGGTGCTGCTGTATTTTGTTCACACTGGAGATGAAAAAATGCTGCCTTAAGCTTCTTGCCACAACAGATCCACACTACCACTCATCTGCACATATATTATATACTAAATACTGCAGCACACTGTACAAAATATTGTGATAAACAGTCAAGGAAAGCTTGAGTTGCAGTTTATACTTTCTTAAGGGGCTGCAAGGAAGTGGTTGGTTTGGGAAAGAAGATGCAAAAAGAAAGCCTTTTTAATATTGTCTTTCTTCTAACATGCTAATGGCATGCAGATATAATGCTTCCCAGGTAATTTAGCATGTTAGCTTAACTTTAGCTAATTTGCAATGAATACAGAGGAACGTAGGGGAACATCAAACATATTACAATGTATTTGAGGGGGACAGGAATGCCAACTCACAACTTAGTATTTTTAACTCAGCTTTGTGACTAAATAACAAGAAATATTAAAGAAACAAAATATATGTACAGTATATATATATATTTATATACATATTTATATTTATTTATATATATACTGTATATATAAATCGCTGGCAGAAGGGGCGACTCTCAGCAGAAAGAACTCTCCATTTATCAGCCTTTGACAGGCTCTCTCACCAGTGGAGCTGCCTGCACTGCAAAAAAATATTAGCAAGAAATTACCATTGTGACAGGTTATGTCATGTCATATTAAGCTATTAAAAATAGAACTGTAACAATTAGTCTATTCATTGATTAGTTGGTAAACAAAAACTGAGATTCTTCGATGGTTTCAGTTTATTTATTTGCCGCCTTCCATTCTGTTGAGTAATTGATTAATCATGTAAATAATCAGTTCCTTAATGGATAATGAAAAACGGCAGTTAAGTTAGTTGAAGCTCTAATTACAAGATTAAAAAACATAATTGAAAAAATGTTAGTAGAACAAAATAATTTCACCTCTTTGCAGAGCTTTATATCTACATTGTCCTAAACTAAAAAAAAACATTAGATTATTTCTCGTTATTTAAAGACTGACTCAATGAGGTGGATATTTTTTGCAGTGTGCACACAAGCCTTTACTGTAAACTCCACCATCAGCCCAGTTAATGTGTCCTGGCCACGAAAACTGACATGCTTCTCATCATCATACAATATGTAATGGTTCTGCTGT